GCTCCAATCCAACAGCGCGCCCCAATGACAACGGGTTACTGTAACACGGATTCACCGGCCGCTCTAATCTGTCTTGTCGCCACTTCGAGGCCAGCTGTAGGATTTGGAGGGGGCCTCCAGTTGTTCAAGCGAGCAATCGATAAGGCTGTATCAGAGTGTTCGTATTACTCGCTTTCTACTTTTGTCGCATGCGCGCTTCAACAAAAAGGCAGAGAACGGCTTTGACCTCCGGCTTTGGCAGAGTAACACACTCATACCGCCTGACACCGCAAACTAGAGTATAAGCTAAATCATCTGTATCATCTGTGCTCGTGATGATCATCAAGTTGCTCGATTGGGCGCCAGCACCTCAGTTCGCTCTTGCAACGCACTAGAGTTGCCCCATGGGTCATCATGGCAAATGCGACTCTTTGAAGTGAGCGCAGAAAAAGAAAGAAATACACACAGTGATGCAGCTTGTATACACCTGTTACAAGCGAGTGTTTTCTCTCTTTTCGACCGCTGACCCCATTGTTCACATTACTGCACTTTTTCCAGGTGGCACCACTCATTTTCGGCGCATGCCCTGCCCACTGTGGGCGGGCTAAACAGTTCACGTGCGCTTTGCAAATCTTGTCCCATGCCCTACCCTCCCCAAACTTGACCCGACCTCTACAAGTTCCACTTCGAGTAGAACCATTTCTGGACAGGGAAATAAATAGACAAAGAAGCAGGCAGGCTCGAAAAATAATATACAGTAAGGATCTCATCAAACATCCATGAATACACGCAGTGTATATCACGCAGTCATCATGACAATCATCACTGCGCACAGAAATATTGTTTCGAACAAAACGAAACTTGACTTCAAACTTTATAACATCAAGGCATGTTTAGGAGCTAAGCTGCAAGCACAACTTCTGCGTGCAGTGTTTGGCCCAATGCTCAGGTAAATAATTTTCGAAAAAATGAAAGAAAAAAGAGTGCCCTTAACGTCCCATAGTTCCCATACTGATAAGTTAGGGAAGAGTCAACCGAAGGTTACGATGTACTGCTTCAAGGTGTCCACTCGTGTGCTGACAATGAGTCGGCCGCTTTTCCGCGATCAGACTGTTTGCCTCGCATTTCAGAATTGATGAAAAGCCTTATCAAAGCAAGGGGAGTTTGTAGCGGTTGTCCTGCATAGAAAATGAGACCATGGTAATTTTGGCAACTCCCGTCCACTTAGCCTGTTGACTGTTTTCTACAGCTATTCACGGAGATCGTTCCTGCACGCATTTAGCAAATACTATAAGGCATGGATGAAGCACAGCCTCTGGAGCAGGTTGGATTACGATGCAGTTCAACAGTGTAGGTATTTCAGCTACCTCCCTCCATTCTCCTGGGGAATGGCGTAAGGAAAGGCGTCATCAAATACGACGTACGTCTAATGAGGCCCAAATCCAATGGCACATCTAGCAAGGAACCATTATACGTTCAACCCAGCGTTTGTTGAACATGGATAATGACATGAAAGAATAGCTAGCAGGAGGTCAAACAGCTGCGTGAGCAGCGTTCACGCCCCTCCAGTGAGTCGTGGATCATCTGAACAACTTAGAACTCCTGGTCTGTCCGACTCCAAGGTCTAGCTTGCGCTCTGTTGCTAATTCAAGACACGGCTGCAAGTACATCACATAAAGGGGTCTAACAGTGACCCACAGGGTGCTCGCACGTGATAATCACTTCTCACGAAATCAAGGCGGACACCGCAAATCTGAACTGCACAACTCTTCCCGCCTGTAGACTGTATAGAAAACGCAACCCTTGGAAGGAATTGTCGCACTATAAGAAGGTGAGATGACGAATAAACGATTAGATCAGCTGCATGAAAGAAAAGAACAGCTGAGATATGAAAGACAGGAATAGACCTGCTTCAAGACTGAGGAACGTACTTGCACCAATGTAAAAAAGCTGCATGTGCAGCTGAACGACCTTCCAGATTTCGGAAATTCACTTCGGCATGTCAGGGAGACTGAGTTTGTAGTATACTGTTGTGTGAGAGTGTAGCCCTCGATTGTTTTAGACGTTTTAGACTAACGTTTCGGCGACAATAGCCTTCTTCGGAGTCCTCTTACTGATATAAAACTCTACCAGACACTGAGTGTCCGGTAGAGTTTCACATCAGTAAGGCTACAGTTTCATACAACAGTATACTACGTCTGCATGCCGAAATCATTTGAAAGCCGATCATGGAATTTTCTGAGACTGAATTTGGTACGACGCCAGGCAGTTCTCCACCAATTGTTGAAGGGGTAGACGACACCAAGGCGGAGAGCTGTTGGCGTTACGCCAAACCCAATCAGGCCCCAGCATCTTGAATCCCTCAGGTGCAATCCCAAGAAATGCTCACTGTTAGAGAGATATATCATCCACCGCTTTCATCAAGAGCTGATTTTATGTCCTTGACCATTTTGTCGAGAGCAATTCGCTATATGGCCCGCTCCTAGCAATTTGGAATAGTAGAAATCCTATGAAGGAAAGAATGTTTACAATACGAATAAGTCACCTTTTAAGGAACGCTCTGCCCTGCACCGGCTTGCCCTGGAACGAGGTCTTCTGACGTGATCGTTGACGAAATGGCTGGTGAGACAGTTATTACAGATGAAGAGGACTCTCAAGAAGACCGGATAGAGAGTCCATCAAAATGCGTGTCGGTTTGCAGGTGTCGAAGGAAACACGGCCACACAAATATCTTTTGGATCCCATACGCTATCTGTGCTGGACCTAGATGAACGACAGAGGTACTCTGTTTCGTAGTCTAAATATATAGTCAAGGTTCAGGGCGTGTTGGAACTACCTGCAATTTCAAAGGCAGTGAATTCAAGCACGCAAGTTTCATTTTTAATCAGAATAACATGTAGCTTCTTAGGTGTGAAGCCCGTCGTGGAGCCTTTGCATGTGTCAATGTGGCAAGGATGCACTTGATCAACTGTCGTCATCGCTTTTGCTACGACTGCCTGTCTGAAAAAATTGATCGCGATGTTCACCACCGTAAGCTTTCTATTACTACTTGATCAAGACTGCTGATTGTTGATGTGAATGAAAGGATAATTTTCGACTTCTGCTATGACACAATCTGTAGTTGAATTTATAGACTTTGGGCTGAATGAATCATTGGAAACCTTAAGGAACAAGAGCTGCAGTACGGTGTGCCGCCGAAACCGAACGTTAAGGGCAGCGCCCGCCTTCATTTCTCGTTTCCACACCCTCTTTGGATATCGTAGCTCACTGTATGAGGATGGCGAACGTACTAGTTTCGCAACTCAAAAAAGCGAGAGAGTAGCGGCGCCCGCTCGTGAAGAGTCGGCCACCTTGCCCAACTGGCGACCCCAACTTCATTTCTTTCTTCGCATTTCGTCGACATCGCCATCACTCGTTCGGCTCAACGCTTATAAGCGGTCAACCAGTTTTCGAATACGATTGAGTAATGCACGTCACTGTGGTACACACAGCAAGCTAATGGATAGCAGATGAAGGATGCGTAATCGCATGTCGTGATTTTCAGGGTCTCCCTAAGTTGCGCAACTGAGTCACTCAAGTTGTAAAGGCCTTAGCAACTCAACTGGTAGTCCTCATTCTACCTTCATAGGCACTCATTGTTCTCTGATATCTGGACTAGCTTCATATGAGCCCCGAAACTCAATTCCAGAGATCTTTACGTGGCGATTTCACCAAATTGCATTAGGAACGCGGTTTCCAATGAATAATCTCACAAACAGATTTCTTTTAGCACTTATGGAGAGCGAAACATGACCGTTCGGTAGCATACTTCATATCCCGGAAATTTGGAAGGCGTGGCTCATGTGAACCTGGTGCTGGCAATGTTTCTTGGGAGCCATTTCCATTTCAAACAACCGTGACCCTGTCTTGTGCGAGGACATGATTGCAGTTGTCACAAAATGGCGATATCCCATCAAAAGTACAGTACCTTCATGTTTAACACATTGAACGACGCTGAATTCGCCGGCATTACACGGCACGATACCCCGTTTCCCGCGGTTGTGTATCTGACCACCATATTCACGCTCGGCTGTGGTACAGAAGGAAGTGAAAACGGGAGTCGCCGCAAAAACGCCGCGGCGTTCAATGTGTTAAATGAAGCACGCTCGACACCCTTCCCATTCCTGGGTTACGGAGAGTAACTCCCGTTTGAAAGATTATTTCTCGTTCAAAAAAGAATATCAACATTTGGCCCATCTAAGGCCACAGTGTCAAAAAGAGAGAGAAAAGGTGCTGAAGAGAAGACGCCAGTTCCTCTAAATGGAAACGACTTATCAACAGATACAAAAAATGAGTGACAAACGATGTAGAATGACATATGAGAATCAGTCAGTTGTACTCATAGAGAAAAACATGCAACTGCCATTCAATTGTGGCACCATTGTAGCATTCTAGACATGTGCCACGTTGCCCTTTTGGCTCTACTAGCACAATAGGATTTCTCGCTCTGAAGTACGTACTTTGGCTCATCGCTCGACGCACCTCAGGAACCTCTGTGCTGAAGCTGAAAAGCTCATCTCCGATCCTCCCAACGACATGACAGCGGTTAGCTCAACAGTTTCACTTACTTTTATGGAGATGAACAAACTATTTTTATGCAGAGCTCTTTTGATTGAATAGTTCTTATTCACTGATTGAAATGTGGTTAGTATGTACCACCTCTACACGAGCTTGTTGGAGTACTTTTATTGGCTTGTGTTCCGGAGGGATCGCCTTGTTTAGATAAAGTAGCGATACAATTTACGAACACCTATGGGGACCCCTCTACCACCTCTCTGAAATTCAAGATAGGCAGGGTGGTATAGGGTAGTGGTGAATTACTTCGGTTCTTCCAAACTCTGAAGAAGGCGATCCGGCCGAAACGTCGGTCAGTAAGACGGGTATGTGACGGTAGGAGAGCGTCGTGCGCGACAATTGCAAACACCGCATGGTTATGATCGGTGCGCGCTCGCGTGGTCCTGAAGACTGCCTCCTCAGTAGAACCATTTTGACAAACCTTTGTGGAGCTGAGATTGAAGGTAAGCACATTCGAATCAGAGCAACGCCGAGATTTTTCAAGGGTAATTTCGCAAAAATATGTGTGATATTTCGCACCCTCTTTAGATTTGTGAACGTCTATGTTCAGAGCAAAGACGAAATCATTGTTGAAACCTATTTATATGGAAGAGAGGCCACTAACAAGCGAATAATTATTCCAAAAATCTGCCTAGTCGGTGAGATCTAGAATATCTTCGCAATAGTTCTTAAAAAGTGGCTCACATCCAAGTAATGTATGGTGCAGATCGCCTTGGGGTAAGGGGAAAATTCGTACTTTCGCTCGTTCCTCTTGCCAGTTCTTGTAACTAAAAGATCTCACATCGGTGATGTCTGCAAAACTCTTGCGGACTGAAGATTGTTACACATGATCCACTCTAGTCACAAGAATTGACAGGTCTTCACAAGGTGGTCTGTACAGGCTTCGCCGAGTTCCCCTTTGGTGCCCCCACCAAGACGAATTACGCCGTGACATGATTATCCATATATGCACCATAAAACAATTTGATTCGGTGAGAAAGCATCAGAAGGCCGTCCGCGTTGTTTCTACCTCGCTCCTTCGAGCCAAGTTTTTCGGAGTTCCTTGTTAACTTTGTTCTAACCGATGAAGATCTAAGCTGCAGTGAGACGGTCAGCAAGTTCTCAGAATGTCGCTCCAACGCTATCGCACCAAGATGCAGCGCGATAAAAGGGCGGTTCTAGGTTGAGAGGTGTGAGGTGAAGGGTTCGTGACTTGTCTAGCTCCAATCTGTGCCAGTGGATTTGCAT